TGAGTAATCAGTACACAGTCTAATTCAAATTACTTTCTTATGGTTATGTCCCATTATTTTTTCTTTTTTGTTCAAATATTGACAGCTCAGGGTTTGTAGAGTAGAATTAATGGCGTACCAAATAAGATATGGTCGAGGCTTCTGTTAGCAAGGAATTCATATACAAGGAAGCTGTCATCATTGGTGAAGCAACAACCAAGAAAGCGGACTAAGTTCGGGTGCTGGGCTTGTCCAATAATGTCCATTTCATTGCAAACCTCTTGAATTTGAAGCTTTCCAGTTAAAAACATCCATTTTATAGCAAATTCTCTGCCGTCTGGTAGAGTACCCTACTTCAAGAATAGAGCAGGATCATTGATTGACGACTCAAGAAGTTAGAAATTTAGAGGAAAATACAAAAACAAGCCATTCACCTTAAATATTTCTCTGGATCCTCCTTGACCAATCTTGACAGCTTCATTGAAGTTCTCAGTTGCTTTTTCTAAAGTTGAACTTGAATATTTGAAATGCAAGCTCCTCTTTTTGATATCTGAGTCGAACTCCACTCCTTTTGAAGATCATAATTCCATAGCCATCAGTATAAACATTACAGTTTTGACAATCATGGAATTTCATGGCCTTAACAGAGGATGGTTTTTTTCCTCAAAAAGCCGCGAAGAATCACAAAACAAAAACATAGGAAAAAAAAAACTAAAACTAAAACTATTACTCTTTTGTTTGTTTTGGTGGTTGAGTAGCCTCTGGGAAATAGTTGCACCCACCAAATATCCCACCAAAATTGCCAATAAGCATACTCCAACAGTGCCATGAGCTACTGAAAGATACAAAAATATAGCATCTGCAAAGAGAAGACGATTTACATCACTTAGAATTTTCAACTGTGAATTGTGAACTTCGAGTACATGTTTGGCCACGGTGATCTCTAGGACAAAACGGCAGAATAAATATTATTTTAGCTTATTTTCTTCTTGATCATTATCCAACACTATAATTATATTGAAGACCCCAGTGCTTCTTTCTGTGGCAATATGAATCTAAAGCTGATTATTAACAGAGTTCTTGAAAAACAAAAGCCATTTCTTCGAGTAAATCGAGCAAAACTAACCTCTATTCGCGGATCAACCAGGCTTGTTAACAAATTCAGAATCCAGCAAGTAACAACTAACAGGAAGAGTAATATTTCTTCACTTGCCTTATCTACGCATTTAGTACACAATTTCTGATCCAAAGTTCTCCAGCAATTGGCAATACCATAGGCGTAGAGACTATTTGATGTTGCCCGCCCTTCTGCATAGCCTCGATTTTCTGGTGCAGCCTTCGTCAATTCCTTGACCAATTGTTTGACGAGAGGATCAAAATTGTTGCCCTGAACGTTCTGCGCATCGCTGCATCTCTTCTTCTTTTTTTTGCACATAATTTGCGAAGAATTTTCAAAGAAACAAATAAATAAATCTAAACTTCAATAACATCAAACCAATATTTGATCTTGAGAAGCCATTGCCTTGACTATATATCTCTTAGAGATTGAGCAACAACAATCTGTATCTGCATACATAAAATTTGTACTGATCTTGCAACAAGAAAACAAATAATAAAAATCTTATTCTGTTCTTTTACTTATTGGCTTTAAGGCCCTATTTGGTACACATTTTTTTTTAAATTCTTATTCTTCTACTCATTTTTTACCACACATTCTTCAATAAAATAATATTTTCCATCACATCAATAATTTTCCTTCATTTTTAACCACACATTCTCCATCAATCTACTATTCAATAATACATTCTTTCAAAAAAATGTGTCCCAAACACACTCTAAAATTAAGATATACATGTCCCTCTCTAGCACCTTAANTCTTTTACTTATTGGCTTTAAGGCCCTATTTGGTACACATTTTTTTTTAAATTCTTATTCTTCTACTCATTTTCAACCACACATTCTTCAATAAAATAATATTTTCCATCACATCAATAATTTTCCTTCATTTTTAACCACACATTCTCCATCAATCTACTATTCAATAATACATTCTTTCAAAAAAATGTGTCCCAAACACACTCTAAAATTAAGATATACATGTCCCTCTCTAGCACCTTAAGCAAATTAGAGCCGGACAAAAGACCAAAATTCCAATCTCATCACCACCCATTTTTGAAAATTGTTCACACGTCAAACCTTTGATGAGAACATGAACTTGATTAACATGTGAAGGGGCATGTTGAACAAGACAAGGTAGCTTTATATCTCTCAACAAATGGAAACCCTTTCTTTTGCTCAATAGTCAATACATGCTCCATGATCCATTTCAATGGAGAATATGAGAAAATTATAGGGACAAAAAGGAAATTTACCGTAACATCATAATCTGGTGAAGACGATTCTTGGAAAAAGCTATAGTTTTCAACCCTGAGGAAGCAACCATCATAATAAACACTGGCACTGTGATAAGGAACAGCCAGGGATCTGGGTTTTGATAGAATTGAAGCAAATTTTACAATCATTTTTAGACAGATCCTCCATGCATTGCCCCAACACACGTAAACGCGGTTAGGCGGCTGGCCTTCTTCCCCGGTGGCGAATTTGTTTCCGCTCATGGTCTTTTGCATTGAAACTATCACCTTTGAATAGTTTTCACTTAATTGAGAAACACTTTGTGCATGATGTTGCGCACATTTCTTGGAAACCAACTCTGTTCTAGGATTTCCCATTGTTGAATGGATAAAAAATGAGCAAATGGGAATCAAGAGCAAAAAAAAAAAAAAAAATTTGCCATCAAATAGAAAATATTGTGTTTCTATGTTATACGGATGTACAGAGATTAAAAAAAAAAAATCTGAAAATTCCGAGCTTTAAGGTGATTGTTGTGTGGGTTGGGGATATGACTGGAGAATGGCATAATGGGATAACAACTGATTAAAAAAAGGGAAAAAATAAGTGCGACAAGACCTTTATTACAATTAAAATATAGTATATCAAATAAATTTTATATTGTGAGCATAACAATCCTACAAGTAAATTTATATCATGACAATATTTTGGTATTGATTGTGCATTATTAACGTACCCATGATCCACATCAAGAAAATTTTAAGAATTAATGTACATGGCAAGGTTGCCTACTCGACTAACACTTCGGAAGCCAATACGAGACTTTCGGCAACCTAATTTTCAGTAGGGGCCTGAAGTCTTTTGATTAGAATAGAAATTGTGTGTAAGAGAGTGAGAACACAATCTTATTCCAAAAATATCAATAACTAGCAATTTTTATGAGGTTCATCTGTCATCACGAATATAGGAAATTTAACTTGCATAAAAAAGGGAACCAAAATTTACATTATTGCCACATTCTAAAAATAAATAAATGAAAAAATTCGCCTGCCTACTCAAAATTTTACACTGTTGCACAAAAGATTATTGGCTAAGTGCAACATGCGCAGATATCGTGCCGTGTCTATAAAGCTTAGTCGAAATAAAGCAAAATAGTGAGATGGTGATACAATCTTCAACGCTCTCTATTCCACAACAATTCTTCACAAATTTGGAAGATACGGACATGGCGGGGTAGTTTTACAGATAAAATTCACCTTGCCAAGGTTAATTCTTGCAACTGGATAGGAAGCTAAGACTTGTGCTCTTCCACCAATGACATTACAGGGATCCCCTTGGTTGAGAAACTGGAGCATTTTACTCTCACCTCCTCGCCAACTTCAAAGTCACTTTGAGAGCCAACCTGGAGGCTGGGAGGTAGAGAGAATAAATTTAAATGGTGTTGATGACAATCACTGTTCCTAGTCTTTATTTTCCTGTTAGTCCACCATAAAACGTCTC